GTGTGTGTGTGTGTGTGTGTGTGTGTGTGTGTGTGTCAGGGGAAACAGACGCTGCAGTTGTGAACATGAAAACACACGAAAGGAGAAGCCATTACAAACTGAGGGTTGTTGGGGGGTTAATGAGAAGACACCTGCCAGGTGAATGATAGACATCAGGCACAAAGAAGGAAGAAGAACAGGGAGGGGTGCAGTAATTAGACCATGAGCAGTGTCATGTACCAGAGATAATGAGGCTGTTTTATATTCTAGTTTCTAGCTCAGTGGCAGTGTTTTAACACGTGACTTTTGATTGTGTCTTCTTCCTCCAGGACTTCGTCTGCGAGTTGCTGTGCCGGATAAAGGGAATGAGGAAACTCAGCATAACGAACAAGAAAGATTTTTAAGGGCTTTTATTGGCACTCATCACTGGATCGCGTACAACGTCACTTCAACCCCACCTACCTTATTTACTCCTCATGGACCGTCATCACATAATAATTTATCGAAACATTAGCAGCTGCTCCGCAACCTGCAAACATACGTCGTATATAAATTAGCACTAGCCGTTGATGTCACTATCACACAGAATAACTAGTTGTATGATAATACCAACAATATTTGACTGTTGTCACAAGAAAAAGAAAACTTCATTAAATGGCATTGGCCTGGAATGTGCCAGAATGTGCTTTAATTTTAATATTACCACCTAATTTTACATTTCTGAGCAATGTACAGAGTTTAAAAAATAAGAAATACACGAAAAAAAAACAGCCATACAAACTAAAATACAGACAAATCTTATAAAAGGTGGTAAAAAAAGGTTGTTAAATTAGCTGCAGCACTATGATGTTTGAGGGTTTTTTTATTTGGCTGTTCTGTTACGTCATTTTAAAAGTTGCTTGTTTCCATTTGTTCTTGTAAATGGAATGTGTTTTTTTTTTTGGCGTCTTTTTTTGTGAACTTCCTTCTTTTATTTTGAAGCACAACATTTGCTCTGTCCTGTCGTGACGTGTAAACTCTGGGGGGGCAAAAAAAAAGGGACATATTTGCAAACCTATAGCTGAAATACTGTTAATGTTTCTGATCGTGACAAACTGTTCTGGTGTACTGTTTTCAACCGCAAGGCATGATGGGTGCTGCGGTTCTCTGGATGAGGCGGCAAAAACATGACTGGCAGCCTTTCAGTGATCATGTTATAATGGATGTCTGATGATCATTGGAGTTTTTTTTTTTTTTTTTAACGTTTCGTTAAAATCTCTGCTGACTCATTTCTCTGTCAATGGATGATGTTGCCTTTAAGGACTTTCAGGATAAGTTTTTTATTTTATATTTTTATTTAACCTTTATTTCAACAGGCAAAACATTAAAAACAGTTTCTTACTTACAATGTTGGCCTGAAGTTCAGTTTGTTTTATTTTTTTATTCTCAGCACTGACAACCTAATGGTTACTGTGGTTCGGTCAAAGCCTGAGGGCAACCTCAACTGTTAACGCTCCAACCATTCAGGTTTTCTTTCTGAAGCTGTGCCACTTTAAAAATCATTTTTGAAACTGTTCATCAGTTTGCAAAAAACATCTGAGTCGGCACAAATTTTAAGATGCTTAAAGCCCTTTTTAGCTTGCAAAAAAAATGTGACAACTCCAGAATCCCAAGTTTAAAAGTACAATGAAGTATTAGGGCCAGACTACGAGATTTTTCTTTTTAATTACGACTTTATATTAGTAAAATAAGGACTTTATTCTTGTAATATTATGCCTATTCTGGAAAGAATATGACTTTATTGTTTATTAAATATGGATTTCTTGAAAATGAAAATGCATGCCAACACTTTTTTTTTACCATTGTTTCATTATTTGCTTAATTTATGTTTTGTGCAGTCTATTTTCCCTGATGCCTGGAAGTTTGCTCAGATTACTCCCATTTATAAATCTGGTGATCCAACAGAAGTTTCAAACTATCGGTCAATTTCTGTTCTTCCTATTCTTTCTAAGTTACTTGAAAAAACCTTATCTAATCAACTACTTCAGCATCTAGAAGCTAATAATATACTAAGCAATAGCCAACATGGTTTTCGCACGTCAAGGTAAACATGTCTGCATTAATTTTATTCACTGAACAAATACGTGCTGCTTTGAACAAAGGTCAAGTAACTGGTGCTGTATATATTGATTTTCGTAAAGCGTTTGACACAGTTGATCATTATACTCTCTTACAAAAGTTGATTTCTTTTCTTTTTTTATTAATAGAAGAAAAAAAGGAAGAAAGAAAAAAGTGAAATGAAATGAGAGAGTGAAAAAGAGATTAGAAGGTATGTAAAATATATGTTGAGAAAACATATATTGATTTCTTTTCAACTTTCATCATCTGCAGTCCAAATGTTTTCCTCTTATTTGACTGGTAGGTGTCAGGTTGTGAAACAAGGAAGCTCTGTGTCTGGGTCTCTGCCCTGTTCCATGGGAGTTCCGCAGGGTAGCAWACTGGGCCCATTGCTTTTCCTATTATACATAAATGACCTTCCAAAAATATTGAAGTATTCAAATATTTTAATATATGCTGATGATACTGTTCTTTTTTTGCCTGATTTCAATATTGAATCTATTAATTGTCAGCTACAAGCAGATCTTCAGACATTTCATGGTTGGCTTCAAGATAATCTTTTGTCAGTTAATGTTAAAAAAACTGTGTGCGTGTATTTTTCCTCACCCAGGAGACATTTCAATACAACAAATCAACTCACTTTTTTAAACAAACCCCTTGAAATTGTCACTACCTACAAATATCTTGGAATTACTTTGGATTCTCATTTGACATATCGTGATCATATACAAGTCTTAACCACTAAGTTGAAACAGAAATTGTACGTTTATTCAAAAATTAGATCCAATCTGACATCTTCTGTTTCAAATATCTATCTTCATGCCATTATACTCTCAACCATGTCGTACTGTTTTCCTGTTTGGTCTCTTACAACAAATGAAATCTTAGAACCCATAGTTAGGCTCTATAACAGGGCCTACAAAATTCATAAAAAAACTTCCTGGTTGGACTCATCACTGTACAGTTCTTTCATTGTCTGATGCTTTGACTTTTCAGAATTATGTTTTGTATAGTGGTATTAATTTATATTTTCAGATCTTCCAAGGTGCCAATTATGGAACTCTCTGTGCATTGCTGCCCAAATCAAATTCTGGAAGTGGTCATTCAACTAGATCTGTTACAAAAGGACAACTGATATTACCAACTTTTAAAAACTGTTACGGCCAGAGGTCTTTCTTCTATGTTTATACTAAAGCATGGAATGACATTCCTCAAAACATAAAGTCCATTTCAAAACTACAGCCCTTTAAGAAGAATCTTGTCTGCCATCTGCTGGACACTTTTTGTTGTGCTCATATTTAGATTTCCTATTTTGCAAATGCTGCCTTTTTGAAATTTGGTATGCTTGTTTGTCTTTGTGTCTATGGTGTATAACGATGTGATTGTGATGCTGTTATTCTGAGTGTTTTATGTGCTGCAGAACAGGAACCTGCTGTAAAAGAGCAATTATGCAGAGTCAAGCTTGATTTTTAATAATCTTTTCAACTTTTTTCTCCTAAAAATAAAATAAAAAAATTCTCATAGTCTGGCCCCAGTACTCCATCGTATAGAAGAGCTTACTTAAATCTAACAGCCTTCTGAGCACCAACAATGCTGACGAACCTGTATGCTTTGGGACAATCACACCGGTGGTATGAAACTGGGTGCAGTTTCATTTTCGAGCAACGTAAACCAAGCAGAATAAACCAGAATCTACAATGTGACACGAACCCTCAGCTGCCAAAGAAGAAAGTTTGGCAATATTTGTTTTGAAGAACACAATACTTACTGTGCCCGTCTTGCATGCTATTGGAGATAAAACATCCATAAAAGGTATATAAAAACCTTGTAATTAAGCAAAAAAAAATTTTCTCCTTTACTTGCCTCTAATGTACACCTTTGTAGATCATTTTTCTGTTGCGACAACGTGACTGTCACGTTGGAGAGAATTCAGGAATATAAAATGGTGCTGTTTTGATGTTCTTCCCAGAATTTGGTTGTAAAAAAAAAGGTTTTCACTGTTGACTGATGCCAGATAAATATGTTTGAAAGGAACATGTCTGTTTGAAAAAGCATCTACTTTGTATGTCTGTTTTTTTAAGTTGGGACTGGCCTGGTTAGGCTTTATTTTGAAGGATGAGTCCAGATAATTTGAAGTGGATTTTGGTGGGAAAGCATTAGACAATAAATATCTTACTTGTTGTAGCTGTCTGGATTGATGATTAAAGTCGAAGGAGGGCCAAGACCAAAAATGACTGAGATTAGAGGTTAATCAGTTTCTACAACAGATTATTAACTTCTTCCCCACTTTAAACAATCTGATTTATTACCAATAAGACCAAAACAATATAAAAGATCTGATGTTTGCCAGTTCTGTGTCCAAGAAGAAGCTGTTATGTCGAGGATTTATGTCTAGGTACTGTATAAGATTTTATTTTAAGAATTAGTTCAGGGACAAGAGGTCGATATTTTACAATTTACAATTCTTGTGAGGATTATTTTGAAAGTCGTCATAATAGAAAGCTTTACACGTGCATGGTTTTATAGCATGTTGAAGGGGAGAATATCATCCTGGGCCTTAGAGGTTTTTTTATTTAATAAATCAAAAACACTTTCCTTTTTTATAACTTTATTATTATTGCTAATATTCGTAGACTTAGGAGTGAACTGTTGAGTTTTGAGCTGAAGTTTAGTTTCTGTACATCCACAATGAGTATTCTTGTTTCTACAGTGTAATGTACTGCGTGATTTGTTTTTGCTGAAAATAAAATGCAGAAGGACTCTGCGCAGTTTCAAAAAAAGCTGTTTTTGTGTAATTTTTTAATGAAAAATCCAAGAGAGTTCTATTATTTGTTGCAAATATATGCAATGGTTTTGGGGGGAAAAGGTTATTTCGTGCTAAGAATGACAGATAATTAAATGTTTTTGAACCCTTTTTTGTGTTTCAAACAAATCAGATCATAAAAGATCAAAAAAAAAACCGCAAAGCCATTAAAAGAGATAAAGTTGGTGATTTTAAATTAAACAATATGCAATGTTATATACCTTGGTGCAACAAACACCTACCCTTAATTTGAAAGGGAAGTGGGAGTTTGTTGTTTTAGATAAGGTTTGTGTGAGTGGTCACATTTAATTTATTCATAGAACAAACTATTCAGTTCAGTTTACACAACATTAAATTTCATAAAGATAAAAAAGGAGAATACCAGAGCAGGAGTAAAGAGGCATGAGGTAAATGACAAAAAACAGTGTTTATACTGTAATACCTGGAGTCAAAAAAAATTCTGAAGCAAAAATAGTTGTCTTCTATCGGTTGTTCCCTCTTCAGTGTCGGAAGAGTCAACCTCCTTGATCTCACTCTCACTCCGACTATCTGTGTCTGTGGAGGTTTGCTGCTGCTGTTTCCTGACTAATTGTTTTGCAGTTCATGGAGAGTTCGGTGGGCGGAGACTGGATGGACTCACATGTGCATTGTCTGCTCTGATTAATCCTGAGAGTGTTTCAGTCACCTTCTGAGATCCATCCGACGCTGGATTATTCAGTTGCCCATGGTACTGTTTAAGATGGCCTCAGTTTAATTCTTTGAGAAAACTGATGACCCTTGTTGTATCTCTTTTCTCTACACCTACCTTGTGTTCAGGCTGGACTATCCTGATCCTCCTGGTGACTCCACAGTTGGGCCTTATCCAGACTGTTGGTTTTCTCACTTCAAGACTGAAGTGATTCATCGTCCTCCACCCTGCCTCTCTCTCTCTCAGAAATCTGCATAAGATATTGGAAATTACCTGTGTTTGATCCCCAACAAAGAACCTCTACAAACCTCCTCGTCCTGGTCAGCCTCCTCGCCTGGATCCTGTAAGAAAAACTAACAATTGACACATTCAACACCTTCAAAACACTAACCAGAGAACATCACCCTAAACCACCTTTTCTTTTGTTTTTTTCAGCAAGAAACCTGGACCCATTCACTGTACAATAAACTCACTTACCTTATCATTTTTGTCTTGTCCTGTGTTCCTCACCAGTTAAGTGAATTTTGGGTACTCTTTAAAAGAACAAAGAACAAATCTTAACAGTGTCCTCTTTTACTGCATCCATATACAGTTATCTTCCTCTTTGTCTTTTTTCTGGCAGCTCCTCCTATCCATCCCTCCTCTGTGCTTCCTAACCATCTCGCCTCCCCAAGTGACTGAACCAATGAAATAAATTCAGTTAATGTTAAACAGACTGAGGTGAGATTTTAGGAAAGAGACAACTTTAATAGAAATGTAAAAACAAGTAACAAATAAATAAAGTCACTGATGATGAAACTAATATTCAGTTCTGTTTTAATGGCTCAAAAATAAAGAAAAAAGTTAGAGAATGTAACCAAAGAGCAATGAAATAACAAAAAGCAAGACAGAACTTAAAAGAAAAATAATGTGCCACACAATGAGAATTTGTGCTCTTAACCAACATCTGAGACACCCAAGTGGGAGCGCCCAGGGAATTGTTAAAGGTGTCTTGCTCAAGGACACAACAACATATCGGCATGGTGAGGAATTGAATCTGTGACTTTCTGGTCCCAAGTTGGCTGCCCTACAGCACCATAGCCCTTTTGTTTTTTACACAGGACACCATCCACAATGGAAGTGCACTCTGAGCCAACACAAAGCCAAGCTTAACCAGCAGAAGGAAAAACAAGCATCCATCGGGACGAAACGGCCATAAAAGAGAAGAAGTTGTGAGATGTTGGACAA